AAAGGGAGATAATCTAGCATGAAGATTATAAGACAAGTATATCATGAAGCTGGTTATAGATGATAAATGGATAAATCTGTTATGGAGCTGGTTTTTAGTATTTCATAATAATAATTCAGGTCATTTGTCTCTGAAATTAATCCTGGCAAATGAGTTTTGTTATAAAACCTTCCTTTTACATTCATAGTTCTACCTGTGTATTTAGTAAGTTTGTTAATTTAAAACAGATTCTGCCTGTTAAACATTCACACTTATTCTATAGTTTGTGTGATTTTGGCAAAAACATCATGCATTGGCATTCAACTTCTTACTTAGGAATGTTAAAAGAACAACATACAGATGTATAGGCTGAGGTAAGCTCAACAGTTTCAGACAGATAAAACAGAAATTATGAAAAATAAAAATATTTAATATTGATAAATATTCAAATGTATAGATAAAATGACAAAAAGAAACCTCGGATAAAATTAAAAAAAGAAAATATTTTAAGGTAAATTAACTTGTTCATAAATTTTTTTTTAATGTCAGTATTTATGATGGTTGTTCTAAGTTATGTGTTGACTGTGAGCCATGTAGATAAGAATAATAATCAGTTTGGAGTAGTTTGATCTCCTCTTCGTATCTACTGTTACTGTAGGATTTGTTTTAGGACTGTTTTTATTCCAGAAACTTTACGATATCTTTGAGAACCATTAGTTATGACTGCCAGTATATATGTTACTGTATATTACCAGTAACTTGTTTCTACAAGAATTATGTATTGCATAGAAATTAAAAATACACAAAACACCACGACAGAGAATTTTATAAGCAATAGTGTTTAGTTTTTATTGTACGATGGAATTGGCCAGAAATTCTCATAAATCAACAGGGTTCCTAGCCAAATTATTCCAAGATATAATTAGACTTATATGCCTTCTTCTGAAGTTGGTTGTATGTTCAGCCAGTCAGTGTGTTTTGACTGTTTAGAACTTTGGTTACAAGGCTTGTTATCTTCACCTTTAACAGCACTTATGTTGTAATTGTTAGTTTTTAATTTGAAAAAGATTACAGAATCAAATGTGATACAAAAAGAATTAAATACTGGAATGATTGATGTTATAAATAGGAATAGACTTGTTCCTTCTGTGAACTTATTAATTCTCTCAAAGTGGTTTTCTTATTACTTTTTGTTTTCAGCCTGCAAAGAACTGCAGAGAAATGGCGTAGTAATTCAAGATGAGATTTTTTGTCATTATTTCTATCATAAATCATTATAACAATCACAAGCCAACAAATGATGAAGTTACCGAGGACAGAATTTATGTTAACAAAATGATAGCAAGACATTTCTACAAGCTAACAAAGCATGTTGTAATCAGGTCTATAATTATATTACCTGTTTTACATAGCACACTCTCATCATCAAATCACTCTTTATGTCTGTATTACGACTTGATGACTCGGATGCCTTATCTTGATTTTGAATATTTACTTAAAGAAGACTTTCTGTCCCAGTTTGCTGATCCAAAGGATTCTGTATGATCTGTTCCTACCTCGACATTTATTATAGCATATTCTTCCATTTATTGATTCATAAACCAGAGTTTTATAAGTTTAAAAAGAAACATTATGTTTCCAAATGGTTTCATATAAAGCATTGATTATAGGGATCTATGCATTGGTGTGTCGGCCATATTGTACCACTCACGCTACTTACTTGAATAACATGTGACTTTTATCACAAAGATGGGTCCCCACTGAGTAAGTTATGATGTACTTATACCATAGAACCAAGAGAAATATTCATATCTCACAGAAACCGTAGAGATGACATGAATTTGTCAGTCCTACAGTTTTATGAGCTATAACATATAAGACCATTATAATTCCTTGTGAAGTTGGGGATTGAATGATGATGATGCCTAGTTCCTTGTGAAGTTCGTGGTTGAAAGGTGTTGGTACCAAGTGGAGTCCAGTTCCTTGTGAAGTTCATGGTTGAATGATGACAGTACCAAGTGGTGCCCAGTTCCTTGTGAAGTTCATGGTTGAAAAAAGTTGGTACCAAATGGTGCCCAGTTCCTTGTGAAGTTCATGGTTGAATGATGATGGTACCAAATGGTGCCCAGTTCCTTGTGAAGTTCGTGGTTGAATAATGATGGTACCAAATGGTGCCCAGTTCCTTATGAAGTTCATGGTTGAATGATGATGGTACCAAGTGGTGCCCAGTTCCTTGTGAAGTTCATGGTTGAATGATGACGGTACCAAGTGGTGCCCAGTTCCTTATTAAGTTCATGGTTGAAAGGTGTTGGTACCAAATGGTGCCCAGTTCCTTGTGAAGTTCATGGTTGAATAATGATGGTACCAAGTGATGCCCAGTTCCTTATGAAGTTCATGGTTGAAAGGTGTCAGTACCAAGTGGTGCCCAGTTCCTTATGAAGTTCATGGTTGAATGATGATGGTACCAAGTGGTGCCCAGTTCCTTATGAAGTTCATGGTTGAATGATGATGGTACCAAGTGGTGCCCAGTTCCTTGTGATGTTCATTGTTGAAAGATGATGTTACCAAGCAGTGCCTTGTTCCTTGTGAAGTTCATGGTTGAAACGTGTTGGTACAAAGTGGTGCATGTTCCTTGTAAAGTCTGTGGTTTAATGATGATGGCACCAAGTGGTGCCCAGTACCTTGTGAAGCTCAAGGTTGTTGAATGGTGTCCGGACCCAGTGGTGCCCTGTTCCTTGACATACATACAAGACTCAGATATCCCTGATAGTACCTGTAGGTCATAAAAATGTAGACATACAGGAGACTGGAATATCCCTGATAGCACCTGTAGGTCATACAAATGTAGACATACAGGAGACTGGAATATCCCTGATAGCACCTGTAGGTCATACAAATGTAGACATACAGGAGACTGGAATATCCCTGATAGCACCTGTAGGTCATACAAATGTAGACATACAGGAGACTGGAATATCCCTGATAGCACCTGTAGGTCATTAAAATGTAGACATACAGGAGACTGGAATATCCCTGATAGCACCTGTAGGTCATTAAAATGTAGACATACAGGAGACTGGAATATCCCTGATAGCACCTGTAGGTCATACAAATGTAGACATACAGGAGACTGGAATATCCCTGATAGCACCTGTAGGTCATACAAATGTAGACATACAGGAGACTGGAATATCCCTGATAGCACCTGTAGGTCATACAAATGTAGACATACAGGAGACTGGAATATTCCTGATAGCACCTGTAGGTCATAAAAATGTAGACATACAGGTCCCTGATAGAACCTGTATTTTATAGGACTTACTGACTACCGTATAATAAAAATTCAAAGATAATAAAGGATCCAAATTTTCTATTGTAATGATGGTTTGATATCATGATATATTGAAAAAGTTACAATGGAAAATCAAAATGCAGACATCGTGAATGTGCTAGTAAATAGAAAGAGGTGTTGCTGTGGTATTAAAGGTAGCTTAGGGTGGGTAGAATTTTAAATGCATTCTTTCTTTTTATTTAATGAATAAATCATTTTTAGAACAGTTTTCCTCCCCTAACTATTAAATCCTGAGACTTGTTTCTGGAATCATGAATTTGTAAGTCAACTTTTTTAGACATCTAATCCTGGGCATCAAGCTAGAGGGAGATAATTCAGCTAGAGTTTCTGTTGAGTATTGAAGAATTTCACTTCTTTGGTGTTTTTCCTCCAAATAAACAGATGTGCTACACTGTTTTCATTGTAAAGAATTTTAAGAAATCTCCTTAATTTTTTATGCATGTATATTTATAATTTTTACCGTTTGTTTCTTTTGATAGACGAGGTCCTGGAATGTCATCAGTTTACAAACAAGATAAGGCAACTCATGCTATAAAAAAGTATATTTATGCTGCAAACAATAATTTGTAGCATATGTAACATGTAATGTTTTGTGTGTGTGTGTGTGAGGGTAGGAAAGTACCCCGTTATGTATTGCACGCTGGTATAATGTACAGTGCCCTCCAATACACATCTGCCAGTAATTAGTGTAAGCTACACCACTATAGAATCACCCAGGACAGCCAACACTGGTGATGTAAATAGAATAGCAGTGCCAACCTCCTCCAAGATGCCTTTTCAATGTAAGGCCATGTACATGTGCATAGCGTGTGCCTAGAGTGTCTTGTATTGACTGCACACACGGCTCAGGTATGTCAGTTGGTATATAGACTGTAGGCAAAGGTACCGTATACATGGATAGACAGAACATATATTATACAGGATATGCAAAACACACCATTCTTTTTCATTATAAACATTTCATGGGATGACATGTATGATTTTAGATGTCAAAAATAATTACTTTTGAATATAATATCAAATGCAATTTTGTTTTTCATATATCTACACAGATAAAGTATTGTGTGATGTGATATTATAAATTTATATAGTTGTTAACTTCGGTTAAAGTCGTAAATGGATTTAAATATTACTAAAAAATATATATTGACCATGTACACAGTCTTAGATAGAGAAAGATGAAGCATGCAATCTAGGGTATTTGTTTTTTATTATCATCCATAGATTGACTGGAAATGTGACTTAATTTATTAATTAATACATTTTTTTTGCATAAAGGACGTATATATTTATAACGATATGGAATAGTCACCTGATTTATTAAAAAATTGTTTTGACCTTGATCCATGTCGGTATGACTTTTCATAAACTAAAATTAGAATGACAGTTGTGACTGAATAACATCTCTTTGTCATAGATATCAAGCTATAAAAAAAGAAAAAAACAACTGTTGCCTTTAGCTTTAGTCAATACATGTGCTATAAAGTTCAATAACCTTTATAGGTTGATATAAATTTCTAGGGTTGATGAATCCATGTGTAAACCTCAGTAGCAGTGTATAATTGTGTAATGTGTATGATGTAGTTGTGTATATATACTTATCATTAATTGTATGTATCTGTCAGTCAGACGCAGTACCCTGCTAACTTTTCTCTCTTGTCTTACAGAGTCTACTCATCAGTCAAGCAGGACAACTGCTCACAACAATAACTCCACACGTACGTGTCAACAGAGCTGGATTTATGGTGCTGAATTTGTGAACTTTTTTGTGTTTATAGTTGATTAAGATTCAGTGTGCGACAAAAAAGGAGTTTTGAAACGTGTGAATAGTATTTCTTTTTTTTGTGTTATGGAGCACCGTTCTGTGGATTTTACATAACAACAATCTCCTATCATTGAGGATTATACGGAGAAAATTGCTAACGTTTGTTGAGGTAAGTTTATCCAGACATATTTCATTATTCTACTCCATAGAAAGCTCTGTGTTATGCTTTTGATGAGATTCAATTTAAAACTCCAAAGATTTACCTCACATTTCATCTTCAATTGTCTATATAATGCAGTTATCCTATATCTGCCATTCAGGTAAGTGTTAATTTTCTTTATTGTTGTTGGATTTTCAGAAGTTTCCAGAATATACAAATATCGGGTACAAGAAGTGGTGTGTGAACTATTTATGCACCAATATCACCTTCCACATCAGTTTCCAATTCAAACTCTGGTATCACATGCACTAGATTTATTTCCAGATAACTTTGTGTGGTTTCCAAATACTGTTAGAAGTTTTCATGTGATAATGTTATAAAGAGATTAAATATTACCGTACACATGGAATTTCATTCCAATTTTTTCTATAGATATATAGTTCACCATTTTACCTTAGAGCTGAATCAGCAGGGATCTAGTAACTTGCAGAAAGGCAGCGAGTGTCTAAACTAGCTGGAAACATGATCACCACACTACAAGTAAACCCAGACTTGAAAAAGAAATAGATAGATGTAATAGACTTGACATCCTATTGTCTATTAGGTTTTAATCATAATATAAGGCATTTTAACTAAGTGTTATGGATAAGGCAACGTCAAAGCTCAGGGGGAAGAAATTAGGGCTGAACGTTGAAGCGAAAAACTGACCTTACTCTGTACTTTAACATGGGGAAAGACGATATGTTCCAATATTTTAACACAGATCAATATATCAGTGTCTGTAAAATGTTTTATTTGTATAGATTTACAAAGATAAAATCTGGGATATAAATTTCTGTTAAAATATTTAGCTTAGTTAATGTAATATACACTCTGATTGGTTGATGGTTTCTGTGTCTTTGTAATCGTAGATCAAATTCTGATGCTGAAATTCAATCAACAGTCAGATTTTTAGGAAAATGTTTTGTGTAACAAGAAGTGACCCACAGCAGCTGATTATTTCATCGAGGTCTATGTGAGATTGATAATTTCTGTAGCCAGATATTCAGATCAATTCAAGGTAAAGCAAGTATGTATGCACCTAAATATCAATTTAAAAATAAATTTATCAGAATTCAAATCATTTTGAAATGTTATTATGAATTCAAGGCCTATTTGTTTTTACTAAGGCAATATCGATCCTAGTAAATACTTCAGAAGTTTATTCAGTGCAATCATATTTTTTTCAAAACTTAAATGAGATAACTTGACTGTATTTTAAACATCCAGTGAGATAATAAGAGATTATAATCCTTATTAGATATGTCTATAAATTGTAAAGGTAAGTAAGTAAGTAATTTTTTTTTTTTTTTTTTTATCTCTTTATACACCTACCACGGTATAGATAATTTAAGAAAACTCTGATCCTGTTACTATGTACCAACAAATTGGAATTTGTTAAAAATAAGTCAAAACAGTTTACAAATTCATTTGTTCACATTCTGAACACATTTTAAAACATAACAAAATTATACCTATATAAATTTACAAAAAATAGATAGAGTATATTTATCCCAGGTTTGGATGGTTGTATAATACACACAGTGTCTATTTATATTGTTTGGCAGTGCATTCATGATGGGTCAGTGTTCTAGTTGATAGCATTGTTAGTCACGTTGCATTACAACAATTAAGTGTAATTTTAGATATACTCTACAGTCACAAACACTGGAATATTAAGTTATGACCAATCCTAGGAAAGCTAGTTTTATTAGTTGCAGTTGAAAATTGATATCTAAAATTTCATACATTTTCTTCCTGAAAACATTGAAAAAAAATTATGAAAATGTTTGAAAATTAAGACAATGTACAGAATTTGACAAATGTTTCTATGAAATATGGTCGAAATCCTGTTGGTTATGATCTTGTATAATGTGATTGATCGTAAGCCACAGTTGTACTAAAAAGTACCTACAGGTCTGATGGGCCTTTTGTTCTAAGACGCCATGGTTGGGATGGTCGTTTGATTGTATGTCTGTCACATGTGTCTACCATTGCTCTGAGGTTAGGAGATGTTTGGCAGAAGTATGGGGATCAAACCACACAATGTAATGCCTACATGTGATAGAACATTCCTGTAGTTACCGTAATAAAACAGGCCTGTCTTAGTAACCCAGCATGCAAGTGCTAGCTTTTGATATCAGATACAAAAGGTAGAAAGGCATTTTGTTTTCTCTTTTGAACAACGTCTTTTGTAATTATGTCAAATGTATGGTTACTGAACTTGGTGAAGGCTGAGGTTAACAAAGATGTAAATTGTTAGTTATTTACATATCTTTTGGATGTCTATCTGTCGATTTCTATACAATCTTATTTCTGAATTACTAACAAATATTATTATCATTCTCTCTGTGCTTCATATTATGGTACACCAAATGTTTATGGGTACTACATGGTCTGAAAGCTATTTTGATGGTTTGGCTTGAAGGAATGAATTGGATTCCCTATGAATCTAATTTTTCCAATCTGTTAAATGATTTGAAATACTTAAAAGGTAACAATCTTTGTTAATGTTCCAGTGAAGAAAATCATTATCCAACATCACCAAAGTATTTATGTATAATATTGCACATGTTTTTAAACAAAAGATGTCATGATAGATTAAAGGACCCTGCTGATGATCTGTGTTATGTCATGATAGATTAAAAGACCCTTATGACGATCTATGTTATGTCATGATAGAATAAAAGACCCTGCTGATGATCTGTGTTACGTCATAATAGATTATAAAAACCTTCTGATGATCTTTGCTACGTCATGATGGAATGAAAGACACTGCTAATGATCTTTGTTATTGCCTGGAATGCTGTCTCTGTGGCTCTAGGAATTTACCTGAGTGACACACAGTCTATATATACACACATCAGGGTAGGTAATCATTCTTTAGTCCATACACCAATTATTACCATGGTAGGTAGGTAAACAGGCTTGGTAGACTGGAAGTATGGTAAGTTTGGTGGGGGATGTGGGGGGATGGGGGTAGGAGAATGTTATTCTGTTTGTGGGGAGGAAGAGAAATTGATGTAAGCATTGGACGGAGAGAGGATATACATGCTTTGGCAAGGAAAAAAGAAAGTTGAGTATATTAATGGAGTAAGTGACATAATGGTTCCCTTCTCGGAAGGCATTTTCTATATAGAAACACATTAACTTTTCCTTGATATCTCAGGACAGGAAATTACCAATAGAATATGACAAGAATGCCTGAACTACTATGTGTTCCAGCTGTGGTAGTAATGGTCCACCCTTCTCCAGGTGTTCATCACTGCACTAAGGTGACTAGGTAGACATGCCCACTAAAATGTACTGGAGCCAGCTGTAATGATAAATGGGGCCAAGGACAGTACATATAGACAGATGATGTTTTAGTTAAGAAATTAAGTGTTTTACTAAAGAGCAAAAAACAACAGTTGTCTTTGAGAAGACATGTTGAAGGAAACATGATAATAGCTGGAGGCAGGAGGAAGCAAAGTCCAACAAGTATATGATAGTGGCAGAGATTGACTAACAATGTCATGTTTTAAACAGCTAATGAAAATCCAAATGGCAATCTATAAACACTGTCAAGGAGAAGTCAACTGAAAGGGGAGACAAACCAGTAGTCAAGGAGAAGTCAACTCTAAAGGGGAGACAAACCAGTAGTCAAGGAGAAGTCAACTCTAAAGGGGAGACAAACCAGTAGTCAAGGAGTAGTCAACTCTAAAGGGGAGATAAACCAGTAGTCAAGGAGTAGTCAACTCTAAAGGGGAGACAAACCAGTAGTCAAGGAGTAGTCAACTCAAAAGGGGAGACAAACCAGTAGTCAAGGAGAAGTCAACACAAAAGGGGAGACAAACCAGTAGTCAAGGAGAAGTCAACTCTAAAGGGGAGACAAACCAGTAGTCAAGGAGAAGTCAACTCAAAAGGGGAGACAAACCAGCAGTCAAGGAGAAGTCAACTCTAAAGGGGAGACAAACCAGTAGTCAAGGAGTAGTCAACTCTAAAGGGGAGACAAACCAGTAGTCAAGGAGAAGTCAACTCTAAAGGGGAGAAAACCAGTAGTCAAGGAGAAGTCAACTCTAAAGGGGAGAAAACCAGTAGTCAAGGAGAAGTCAACTCAAAAGGGGAGACAAACCAGTAGTCAAGGAGAAGTCAACTCAAAGAGAGAAACAAACCAGTTGTCAAGGAGAAGTCAACTCAAAAGGGGAGACAAACCAGTTGTCAAGGAGAAGTCAACTCTAAAGGGGAGACAAACCAGTTGTCAAGGAGAAGTCAACTCAAAAGGGGAGACAAACCAGTAGTCAAGGAGAAGTCCACTGAAAGGGAAGACTAACCAGTAGTAAATGAGAAGCCAAATACAAAGAGGAGACTAGCCAGTAGTCAGGTTGAGACCAATTAATTTTAACGAGATTATTTTTAAAATGAGGAATAAAGTAGCACTCTAGACAATATGTTGAATTGTTCTATAGTTTAGTGATATTTAAGTGGAAACAAATTTCAAACATCGAGACTAGATGTCAGCAATGTTTTAGCTTTGCACACAAAGTTGAAGAAAAAAGAATTAACAGTGCTGGTAGGAGTCTGCTGGACTGCCTTTAGGGATAGGTGATGACAGTGTATGTACTGTTAAAGGAATATATTCATGATATTTCAATGTGTTGATGAGGGGCTAAGAAGTTCCACAGTTGAATCTTTTAAAACCTAAAACGTGACTGTAAATTTCAGTTGAAATATTAATTTTGATTGAATGTTGAAATTTTCACAATTTCTTTTCACAGCAAGAAAGCCTTGAAGTAAAAGCCAGGCAGGAGTGTGTCTGAATGTTTGTATTTAGATATAGTGTTGGTAAAGTGATATGAAATAGTAAACAATCCTTGAAAGTGATCAGTTTCAATTGAACACAAAGCTTCCTCTGGGTGGAATTAAGTGTAAATATTGTAAATGATTACGAGTTGGCAGGGGAGGGGGAAATAAATATGGTTACAGAATAG